TTTTGTGTTACGGATTGCTGATACGTTGTAGTATAGTAGTTTTAACTGGTCATCCTTGTAAAGATTTTCACTATAAAGTACCTCTACAAGTTGTAAACTCTGGAATAAACCCTATAGCTTATGCTTTCTTCAAAAGGGACATAAAGCAAGAATGTAAAAGGCTTTTTTCAAAAGGCGCTGTTTAATTACTGCAGAGCAGTTCATGGTTAATAAAAACTTCAGTTGATGCATATACTTATTTCGACAATACTTCTTTTGGATCGCTAGGACGTCCGGTTGCGGATCGACCACGATTCTCTAATTCTCATCTGCATTGCAATTTGGTTGAAAAGCTTCTCATGAAAGAAATAACGCAACTGTGTAAGAAATTCTAAGATTTAGGACCAGCTATGGAATATATCGAGGCTTAACTTTGTAAATAAAGTTAACTAAAAAGAATGTTTCTAAAAAACATCGAAGCTGACTCGTATTTTAGTCTAAGAAACATCTGGTTCTTAAAATATGAACTTGCCGCTGGATATCTCAATACAAGTGTAAAAATGTATCATTTGTATCTTCTCAATAAATGGAATAACTGATTGCCTGGTCCACGCGTTCAGTGCTCTCTAATAAACGATAAATTTTCTGAATTTTCTTCTCAAACAGTTCCCTGTGTACGTGTTAGTTGTTCCAAGAGCTGTCATCTACGGGGAAGTTACAATGGCTTGATAAGTCTGTCAATGTCGAAATTCGACTCTTTGATATCAAAGCGTTTTCTCTATTTCATTTGCAAAAATTTCTTTCGGTTGCGTTAGATGACCATGATTGACGCTGAATTGTATTTCAGTCACAGAAACATCCGATTGCTAAAACTGCGAAAACACTTTGTTTACTATCATCAAAAAGTAACTGACATATCATATTCCTCCTCAATTTGCTGTAACGCTCGAAGAGATCGCCTGTTCCTCTATCTGTTCCTTTCAAAATTTCAGAACATTATCAACAAACTGCAGGACTTTGAAACGATGAAAGCTAGGAAGGAAGAGCTAATTTTACCGACTTTTCGTGCAAAATAGTCGATTTTGTTGACATGTCTCAGAACTTATTCATGAGCTGCTATTTGCGGAGAAGCTATATTTGATTGATAAGTCCGTCAATGCCGAATTCAGACTCTCTGTTATCAATAAGTTCTTCCTATCCATTGCATAATTTGACAGCGTAGGTGTTTTCATTCACACTGTTTTCATTCCAAGGAAACTCTTCGTGGCAGTACTTGTCAAAAAAAAAACGCTCACTAGATTGCTAGTGAATAACTTGACAAACGTAAAAGTCGTGCAACGTGTATAAGTATAGGTAATCACATGATTTCGAGTACAATTTGGATTAAATACGCACGAGTAAATTTTTTCAAAGACTAACAAAATTGCATGAGCCCGTAAGTGCTTATTTACTCAAAATTACATTCCTGTTACATGAGAATGTACTCGATTTCAGCCAATCAGAGGCGCTTAATTTTTTTTATATTCATTATTAACTGGAATAAAGTCGAGGAAACTTGAAAGGCAAGCGCTCTCAGAAAAATTTACGCCGTTAATTTTTGTTGAGTAGTCTTTTTACTCTGTTTGTGTGAGTGCAAACAATTTTTCCATGAAAAATGGTGCAATTTTTTGAGGAAAAGAGGATAACATCACTATTATTAAATAATAATAATTATTTAAAATAATTAAAAGCCGTACGCGAGGAGACGCACGGGTCTTATGATAAACATATGTTATCATGACTACTGCCCTCCAAAAGTACAAAAAAGAGAATTACTACCTTTAGTATTTTGCGTTGCAAATAATTTCCAATTTGGATGCATTTTTTTTGTCGACTACATATCCTATGCAAGGCTGGCTTTAGTGGCTGTAATTTTACTCTAACCTTAGCCAGTATTTCGTATAGGTAACCTGCTCTTGTCCTGTTTAACAATTACAGTTCCCTCATACATGTTTCTGTTATAATCCTTGTGATATCACGTGATCGGTGAACTATAGCTCCATGATTGGTTCCAAAAATCTCAGAGGAAAGCAAAATATTTTCTTTGTGTTAGGCTGTCAAACAATTAACAATGTTCTCGTACCTTCTTGGTTCCTCGTCACTATAACTAGAGCAGTTTTGTCTTTTTACGGGCCTAATAAACCATGCTTATGGCTCAGCTATTGAAATTGATGTTGCATCGAACATAAAAACAGTGATGCTGCTTACAAGCTGTTGTTCTGTGGCTATAGGTCCCCTCAACTATATCGCACAATGGCGAAATGATCCAGAAGGTGATGGATTTAAGTAGTAAACATAAAATCCATCGTATCTCCTCACATTAATTTTAACTTTTCTGTAGCAGCAATCAGAATGACCATCGAAACACGCCTCCCTGTTGACAATGCCATCCTTGATGAGTGGATGCAGCCGTTTAAGAAACCACTGAGGAGTGTTAGGCATTTGCGGGGACTGACACATTGGTCCAGCATTTTAGTGTGTGAACTGGATTGAAATCTGTACCAGCCAGACACAAGGGACCTGTCCGAGTTCCCTCCTCTTCCAAACGATGTGTGGCGACCGGGCTCGCTCAGTACACTGTAATTCATACATTCCAATGGCGCTGAAAATAAGTGTGCACATTTTAGTCAAAGTTAAGAAACCTACAACTGAAGTCCTGAAGTACGAATGTTTAGGTCATTTTATTCTGATAGAGACTGTCAGTTTTTTATCATAATTTATCATTTTCAGGAAAAAAATTGCTTTATTAGAATCATTTTAAAATCATTATTGATCCTTGCAATCTGATTAGCTCTTCGCACTATGATGTATTTTCGAATCGCACTATTTTTTGCTCTATCAGGGTTTTGTTAAGCTTTGTCCATTTGACAAAATATGAAATGGACAGCTCCAAAAAAGCATCCTACTATAATTCATTGGCACATTTGTTCCCTGAACTTTATTTCACGTACCTTCTCCGATAGGATGTGAGTTGGTTTCCACAATAGGAATTATGACCAGTCAGAAAAATCAAAGATCTGTCCTAAGATCAATTGTGGTTATCATAATCATGGAATTAAAAAATGTTTGCAGTAACTGTACGGTGAAAAGCTTCAAAAGTTACCTACCAATTTCACAATCACTGCCACGATAACCCGGATAGCAAATGCATTTATGGATTCAGTCTCTGAATGAAATCGGTGAACATTTCCCATGGCTAGAACAAGTTTGTCCGGTACAAGGATTCTTAAAGAATAAACATCGTTAAGTTCATAAATGCAATTTTTCTCTGCCAATTACAAGCTGGTCTTCACAGCATCAACCTTGAACGTTCCAGAGATGATTGAGCCAGAACTTTTCCTTTCAACACCAATAAATTATGTAGAAAAGTGATGATGGGTATCAGCAAACCCATCAGTAAGTAAGAGTATTCTTCAACAAGGAACTCGATAAGATTCGGACTTGTAACCTGTTTTTTCATTCCCGAGAAATACTTAGTTACCAAATAAGGTATGATGCCAATTGATTGGTCGGGGAAGAAAGAAGTCAGTTTATATGAGTCACGAACTTTTTGCAAGCTATCCTCAACTCAACTGTTTTGATTACTTCGCCATTGTTTTTCTATTTTTTGATCCTTATTCCGGCAGTTCTGCGAGCTACACAGGGTACCAAAGGATAACTTTATAACAGGGCAATTAAATACGGTTCGTTAGGGAACTTTAGACAAAGAAAACATGTTTTGTGTACTTAGAGAGGTAAATTATGAAAGAGAGGAAGGTGATTTGCCAAAGACCCTTACGGCAATGTATATCTCGATACAGACTTTTTATTCCGCGAGAACAAAAAAGCTATTTAAGAAAACTGTTTCCACTTTTATACGCCTCCTCATTCTGGAATTAAACCTTTTAAATTAAATTTCATGAAAAGGTACCTTTGTTGACATTAAAATTTTCTTTTTCAAGTGTTTCCATCTAACTTGGCGGTGGGAATAAACTAAAATACAAGTATTGAAGCGAGCGATCAAACTGATGTTTTTGTCAAAATTTATAAACAATTAGAAAGCAAGAAATGGCCCTTATTCCAACCAACAAATCAAACTCTCGTGTTTTCATCTCCAACACGTCGTTAGCAATTTGAATTTACGCAGCCAATAAGTCATTGTCATGTTTGAGATCGTCTCCTCTTCTTTTGAGATATGATGTAGGCTGGGTAGAAAAGTTTTGTTGATGCTGGTGTTGTTTAGAAAGACAACATTTGCCGCGGAAGGGCTGGGGAATGTAGGAGTCTGATCATAGGATACTTGCCTGGGTAAAGCGGGAAAAGGTTCTCGTGGTGGTAACTGTCCGCTCTTCAGGCTCTTCACCTTCTCTATTTCACTTTCGATGATTCGTTTCTCCGCCATCATCAATTTGTGAGGTGAAGGAAACAAGACATCGAGATCCGACGACTTTATGTATTTCAAAGAATCTACCGTGCGGAAACCTCTGCTTTCAAATTCCCCAGCTAGACGCTCGAGTTGGAGTCCATTAGAAATTGAACAAAGCCATTGGTACACTTCACTTCTCGGCGTTGCCATCATGGCGAGAAAAAGCGGGAAATGATTCAAAGATGAACGCAAATTTTTATATTTCAATGCACATCGCATATTACATACCAGCGTGACAGCTGTCAAAACTTGTCAGGCTTGAAAATTTCAATTCTCGGAAAAAAGATAATAAACCACGCTTAAATTCAATTTTATTACATTGTAACAACGAAGCCACAAGGTTTTTTGTACTTATATTTGATGTTTCTACAAAATATTTATGCGAAAAAAATAATAAGTTACAATACAAAATTTATTTGTTATTTTCTAAAAAAGGTAAACCATTAAGTTCTTTGTTTATCAGATGTAATTTTTCTCGAGCACTAAGGCAATTCCAGCTAGTTTATCACGCGTATGATTGCCAGGTACAGATATTCACATAAAACAAGAAGATCAAAAACTCCTTATGAGTTTCTTTCTATATCAAATACCCACAGTGCCTAAAATATGACATCGAATTCTGTTGCGTGATTCTGTGGCATGCTTCGTGAATGGCAATTTCTGTTTCATTCACAGCCAACAACTGATTCCTGTTGAGAAAAGCCTTTATCTGGTGAAAACAGATTTCGCAAGTGTTCAAGTGCGGAGAGTACGGGGGCTGGAAAAGAAGATTTACTCCATATTCACCAAGAAGGTCCCTCAAGGCTCTTTCTGTGAATCTCCCGTGATGAAATGGACAGTTATCTATGATAACAGTATCACCCCTTTCAAGGAGAACAGAACCACCCCGCCTCGTTATTTCCACAGCTTCCTCAAAGAAAATCAAGAGTTCGTTACCGTTGGAAGCGCCTTCGAGTATATTTACAAAATCGACTCCCAGACAGGAATGCAAAAGATTTATTGTAAAAGTTGCATTGGATGCAGATCTCTGGATCTCAAAGGCGGGAGTCCCGGTTATTGAATTTTCGTATCGTCTGTTCATTGTAGTTTTTGTAACACTTGCCTCGTCGAAAAAGTGGATTGTACTGACAACCAAATCGCTGACCTGATCGAGAAAGAAGTTCGTACGGGCTTCGATCTCTGCTGTTCTACATTCAGACGTAAGCGCGTGAATTTTCTTTTTTGTCATCAGTAGTTCGTTTCTAACAAATTTGGTAATTGTACTTGGATGAGGCAAGTCCTCTGGGTGTAGAACGCCATCCAATACAAGTCTATTCTGTAATTCGGAGGTATAGATACTAGGTTTACAAATTTTTTCAATTTCAATGCATTCAGCAGCATCTGGAGTCAGAACAGTGTGACCTTTGTGGCGTTTTGGTGGTTGAGTCAAGAGTCAAATCATAGTCACGCAAGACATTTTGAACAAAACTATGACTTGCACAAAGTTGTTGTGCAATTGTGCGCTGAAATACTCCATTGTGGTGAAGATCCAAGACCCTTTCGCGAACAAAGTTTGGTAAACATCTACCGTTATCGAAAATCCCACCAGCCTGAATGATACTAAGTTACACGGACATAATCTCGCACTTATTCAACACTAAATGCTTCTCAAAAAAGGAAGCGAAGGAGTATATACCAACGGTCACTTTGAAATGATTGGCTTACGCAAACCACAAAGGCGTAGAAAAAATTATTAGAGTCGATTTCTGTTTTGAAATTTCGACCGCTCAGGTATCTTTCAATATCGATTGAAATTTGTTCGACAAAGGGCCGCTTTGGTAATCAACATTTATTTATTGACTAAAACTGTACATACAGTCGGAAAATCAAACGCGGCCGCTTCAAAATATTCATTGAAATTTTGAATATGCCGCGGCTGTTCCCACAGTTGAAAAATACAAGTTAATTTAAGGATTGAATTTGATTGGCTTTTACAACCACAAATCGAAATTCTTTGTTAACGAATCGGTTTCTGATTGGTTAAAAAACCTCGGGTGGCCCCGGTTGAAGTCGTTGCACCGTAAATTAAATCTCATGAACAGGTGCCTTTGTTGTCATTAAAATTTTCTTTTTCAAGTGTTTCCATCCTCGTAAACTTTGCCTGTTTGCAGCAAAACACTGGTGTTTTTGTTTTATTTTATCATCATTAGGAATAAAAACTTCGGGACTCCCGCCTCGCGAGTTCAGATTTTGATAAGCTCCTGAATTAAATTTCAGCCTTTTCGTATTATGATTTCATTATTATGAAAAACAGTAGGGCGCCGTTTGGTTGAGAAATTACTTGCTTTCCTAATTCATGAACGCTCTAATTCTTATTATCGTTAACGAATAATTATCAGAGCCACCTTTGCATATTTTCCTGTGAAGCATGATACACTTCATTCGACTTTTTCATTTTCCTTCTTTTCTCCTTTAGTTTTTGACGGGTGGATCATTTGACAAAGAGTTTTGTTAACATTCCACTAGAGGAACGAAAGAACTGTTGTGAATTTGGAAAGGTTAATCGTAATGCGACTCAAACCAAAATGATTTTTTTTTAATCCTTTACAGCTTACTATAGACCGACACGTTAGCCTACACCAATGTTATTAGTTTTCTACCTTCAACATGAGGTGATGCGAACGGTTATCTGTAATGAGCTTTTCAGTGTTGTTGTAGAAATGGGACGATAGTAGCTCACACCAGAGTTTTCCTGCACTATCAGCAAAACCAGCCAAGTTCAATGAAACGCAGAAGTTGCTCTCAAGGCAATCGAAACCACACTTATCCACAAACGTCCTCTTTATGTGGGGAACATCAAGACGATAAAATGGAAGAGGCTCAAGCGAGGCTGTTATATATATAGCAACGAGTCGTTGACAGTTCAAAATGCACAGAATTAACACAATGATGGCACAGAATTTTATCTCTTTTGTAAATTTATGCCAAACAATTTTCAACGCCAGATAGAAGCCTGATGGTCTCAGAAATACGAGGCAAATGGAAATCACACATAAATTGTAGTTATAACAATGTTAAATGATTGATGAGAAATCAAACAAAGTATAAAATAAACGATATTTATATTTTATTTTATGTCCCTTTCTAACATTTAAGGTCCCAAACGTTACATGAAAATCACCAACCACTTTCATTCTACCTCCACGAACCAATGTTACCAACCACGTAACGAGCACTCTGTGATAAAAGTTTTTAGATCGGTAGGACAGAAAGAAGCGGATTAGGTGATCGTTTTTGTGCGAAGAGGCATAAAAAAATGACAAAGACGCCTCCAAACTTTCTCTAAACAGCTTAACATTCCTGATCAATTATTCAAAATTAAGGCTGTCAGCAGGATTTTTTCTCCAACAGAGCAATAGTGAGAGTATGCTATTTTACTCCAACGCTAAGAAAACGCTCTGAAAGTCAGCTTCTTAAACATCGTCTCGGCGTTCAACAAACTTATAAATGACAATCAACCAATTGATTCTATTGTCCATGAAGCTGAGAAAGAGCCTCTTTTTATTCGAATAGACCTCATGACTATCACAAGTTAGCTTTTGTCACATACACAAGTTTTAATGTACCCGTAAGCTTTAATATACCTATATGGAATCATCACGTGGAGTGAATTTAACAAAAGGATGTACTACAAATGAGTTTCAGTTTTTGGAAGGTAACAATTGAAAAAATCAAAACAGAAATCTTAACTTCTTAATGTGACTGAAAACAAATTAACCAATTAATTCAGAAACGTGAAATTGAGATTCTTCTACTAAATTCTTGGACCTGCTGCTAGGGTTTTGTCTTGAGATTTTGTTAAAAATGTGGTTTCTCCTGACCGAGAAAGTTACTTTAATTTCAAAACCTATGTCGTCCACACACAAAAAAAAATTTTTCTTCACGCAAACTTGGGGCTCGATGGTTTTACAAAACCTCAATTGCAATATAAAGTCAATTTTTCCTTTCTTTTAAGAATTTTGAGAACTTTCCTCTTAGTTTCTGCTAGTGTGTTTGGCAGACAATTTTCTCGTGAAAAGTGGCGCACTTGTTAAGGAAATTTCAAGTTCAATACGCAGTTGAAGACATACTTATTTAAATTGGCTTATTTGTGAAACGATAAAAATACAACTATATTTAATCTGAAATATCGTAAGTGTTTCCTTATATTGGTGTCGGGGAAAGGAATGGAAATATTATAATATTAAACCATTCCTGCAAATTATAAAAAGGCAGGTTGATTTCTTCTTATTCCTTTTGGAAGTCTTATGTGAAAGGTAGAGTTTGGCCACGTCTTCCTTGTTACGATCGTGAAGTTGACATGGAAACAGTTGTTCAGTTTGTACGGTAATTAGAACTCGTGATAATGCCTTGGGAAAGCTATGTTATTAATTAAGTTAATTTGTTAATCCAGGAAGAGTGAATCTCTCTGGTAAAAGGCCCGTTCGACACCCCTCGTTCTTAAAGGTGTAAACGTGTGATACCCTTCATGTTTCGCAATTAGATAGTTATTACGACTAGCACGTAGCAACTTGGGGGCGGTACTTGCGAACGCCCCTTCTTCCCCAACGTTTGTAATCATGATGTTTTTTTGTAACGGTCTTCTAAGGCAATTTTCTCTTAAGATACCCCTTCAGATGTGAATGATATTCTGTCAATAGGTTAGTTATGATTTTTATATTACCAATCTCGTTTCTGTTCTGGCCGATCTCAACTGTAAGAATAAATTTAAGGTAAAAGCTGATTTTGTAACTGCGCAAATAACTCGAAGGCGCATACCTAGTAAGCAGGAACTGTCATACGTAATCTAACGTGATTCGCTGGCTGAGATGGAACGGTGACAATACAAGAAGATTGACAGTTTAGTAGTTTTATCTGTAGTGTCACCTTATAAACGGTGACCCTCGCTTTTCTCATTAGATAGGAATTAGTCCTCGTTGTAACAACTTGAGAAGAAAAGAGATTAAAGAAGAATCAACCAAACAAACAAAAAGTGTTAGACATTATACTTCTAACACAGTATAATAGCTATTAGCTTTTGTATTTTATAATTTAACCTTTGCTGTACAGCGCTGTGAGCAATTAGTAAACACAGCGTCTTATAAGTGTTTTTATTATTATTATTATCATTATAATCACTATTGTGATTATTATTATAACGTGAGCATAATTTGGATCACCTCCCCAATAAGATCTTCTTTGGCTTTTGCAAAATCCTTTTAATAGTCGAAAAAATATTTCTTGCCCTTTAGGGCAGTTACCCTCAAATCTTCGATGTTTTTTTTTAGATAGTGAAATGATGCGTTTGGAGAAACGCAGTAGGATTAAATGTTGTAGGAAGAAAGCTTATTACCTGCAATTCATGTATCTCCCTCTTCAGAAACCTCCGAATCCTTTCCTTAAGGTTTTCGACAAATCTTTCGACGACGCCGCTTGTTAACAATTATTCGCCTCGTGTAGAAAATTTTTTTGGATACAATTGCTTAGGAGCTTTTTGATTATGTTGTAAATATCCGTGTGATGCTGAAAGCATTCTGTTTCAATTCAGTATTTTGATTACTCGTATGAAGAAGCAGTTTCCACGAGAATTATAAGTTTCATTTAATTCAGTCAGCAAATACTTCATATCTTTCTTTTGAATAGTGTTACTCCAAACTTATTAGCATCTTTTGGGCTCTTCGGAATTTAGTTTTCCTTATCGCATTTATCAGTTCCTCATTAACACTTACTAAACAAGAAGCAGCTATTTAGATAATATAAATTTAGCGCTCCTGTTATGATCACCTCGCCATAATCACCTCGCGCGAGGCAATTATGGGGAGATATGAAGCAATCTTCGACCAATCAGAGCGCTCACATCTGTATATTTACCGGAACAATTATACTTTCAACAGATAGAACACTTATTTTAAATCATAGTAACATATCTTTGACCTTCTCCCTCCTCATTTTCATTGTGTCCTTTTTTCTTGTCTCACTTTCTATTCTCATTTTTACTAATCTGCCCTCTTTGAATGACGTGTTAGATTCACAAGCCTTTAGCTTAGAAATATCTTTTGGCGGCAATTGTAGGGGTTCTTTGGCATCTGATGGTTTTCCCTCGCCAAACGTCTTCTCTTTGTACTTTTTCTTCGCTTCTTTGGGCAGTTTTGAAAATTCAATAGCTTCTTGATCAAAGACTTCTTTTTTCAGACAGTGGTACATGTCAGGTTTCTTCGACAGTACGATATTTCGTCTCCTTTAAACGTTTTTTATGCAATTTTCAGTAACCTGTTTCGCTCCCTTGGCTACCTCGGCATCTGCATGATCTCCTAGGTTCTCGACGATCATATTGTCGTTAGCTAAATATCCTGCAGTATCAACTTCTTGTGCTCTTTTCTCAAGGTCCATTAATCTTGACACCTTAATCCCTTTGTCTATGACATGTTTTACAACTGGATCGAACAGGAGTTCTTGGCCAAACATCTTTTCCATGCATGTAGAAAATTTTCCTCGTCCTTTCGCTTGTTCCTCACTGCAGAAGGGGGGAGGGGGGTGATTTGAAACCCCTTTGCTTTTCGTCACGTTGAGATATTTTGAAAGGTTTCTCTCTTAAACAAATAGCCTGCCATGTCGTCTACGAGATGATGTTAATATTACGGGATACATATGCAAATGACGCTGCTGGAGGTTACTGACGCCATCGAACATGGATAATTTTTAAAATAAATCACTTTTTTCACCATAATTTTTGGCTTGTCAGACGAATAGTAGCTATCGAACTTGACAGGAAATTACTTCGACCCCAACCCGGTTAGTGGGAGGTTTTCAAAATGATCATCAGTGTGATCCGTGATCCACTTGATCGATTGAACCGTGTGATAAAATTGTTCAGCAGAACCACGATTTCCGATCGAGACAAAGCTAGAGGCCATTACTAAATTGAATGGGTTCTTCGAGAATCATTGACTACGAAGAACATTGGTGGAAATAGTCCATCCTTTGTCACTAACCTAAATGCACTTCTAAGTACTTGTGACATTTGTTGTTAGTTTATCAACGAAGGTAAAAGCTTATCACCATTAAACTAAGATGCACAAATGTTGAAAAAAAATAATAATTGGCGCCTTTTTGAGGATATCAAACAACCCGGTGTCCTATGGACTCGCAAGGAGCTTTTTTCGTTTATTTAAGTTATTTCTTATCTTTTTAGAAAGAGTTCGTCGCTTATAGTCATGGACACCTAACCTGACTGGATCCAGCGATCGTATTGGCGAAATCGATAGCATTTTTACTGAGATTAAGCAGCCCGAATTCAAGGCCACAGGGATCGCATGACGGCACTAATTGCGAAAGCTGTGATCCTATAAACAATTGATGCTGCCAGTTTCAAATTAACAGTCTGATCCAGGTTATTCAAAAGATAAGTGTTCTTTTATACTGTTTAATAAACAACTACCTAGTTCTCGATTCGCTTACGTGCCACTGATCATTATTTTTCCCTTCATATTCTCTATTGGCAGCTATTATTCTGTGTACATTAGAAATCACCACATCGCTTTACAATGTGTTAATAAGTGGCAACATTAAACAGAGAGAGGCTTTTCTGTTTTATTGTCTTATTTATGACCATCAACATGTCCTTATTTTGTTTTAGCAAATAACCTCTCCCCCTCTTTTTTGCAAACGCAACCAAAACAAAATCGGCTTTTTTTAAGGAGTGAAACGTAACTGCAAGGCATTAACTGAACGCAACCAAGAATGAAGCTATTCGAGTTGAAGGTTTGGTTCGCGCAAGCAGCTATCAAACCAGCCATTAATTCAAAAATTGATTCCACCTCAAGCGAACCATTTATTTACAATTGATTCCTTCAAGCCATCCAGAAAGATGTATATATCTTGGTGTCTCAAAATAACTGTCAACAACATAACAGAAATCAGAAATTGCTGTTTTCAGTCTCCAATATAATACATTCTTCGATCCCTTTTTCTTTCTTCAAGAAATAGAGAGAAGATTACCTTTGCGGTGTATTTGCAATCAGTCATCCTTTGCATTTTTTTAAATTTTATTTTATTTATTTATTTTTAATCACTTTTAGTTTTTAGTATCTATGTAGGGGTTGAAGTTTTAACATTTAATTGTAATGCGCATTTGAAAATTCTTATATTGATAATTGCGCAATATAAGTCTATAAATTATTATTATTATTATTATTATTATTATTAAATAATTTCTATTCGTATAGGGTTTTCTAGAGCCAGCTGTTACGACCTACAATTTTCATAAAAAAAGCAATTCCAAATTGTCTTCCTTTCTCAAGTTACCTTTTAAAGTCATTTATGACTATAGTAACTTATTTTCACATACTGGCTGAATTGCTAACCGTTTTAGAAGAATCCTTTGAGAGCAAAGAATTACAACCGAAGAGTGGTCACAAGGCAATTTTATCTTCCATCTATTTTCCAAAAAATGACATATGTACGGCTGCGAACGCAAGTTACTTCGTTATATCTTTTCCATGTGATTATTGTGTTCAATACCCATTTGCCCATTTGTTTAAGAAGATCAGAGAATGATAAAGGGACAAATTCTGACAGATGCTGCATCTGAAGTACAACGGAAGTTTTATTTTGTAGAGCTTAAAAATAAAAAGGAAGATAGGAGCCAATTGATCCAACTTTGATAAAATTTAGATTTAGACAACTTGGAAAAAGTTGATCATAATGAATATATAGCATTGGATAATGCGATAGTTATCGCCCGCTAATTGACAGTCAAAGCTTGCTTCCCCGTAAAATCCAGATCCTGGAGATGTTGGCATGTACACAAACTTAGTGCTCTTATTTTCTAGCATTTACCGTTTCAAAGTTCTGATGATTGTTATGTATCAACAGGACCATGATGTTCTATAGATTAATAAAGGCACGTTACTTGAAGAGGAATATATAGATACGATGTGTGTTTACGCATATATTATTATATGCACAGTAAGTTTATACTTTAGGAACCAAACTTACACTTCGTTCAGCATCAGGGTAAAAAAAAAATCTCTTTCAGCGAAGTAAAGGCTCGATATATTCGATGTGTGGTCTTAAATCTTTTAAGAAATAAAATTAGTATCAATGTTACATTATTGTTCAGTTGAGTGATCTGTGTTTTATTGAAAGCCTTTCGTGTAATATAAATATCAATTAAGGTAAGAAGTAAATCTTAGAAGTAAACTTAATATTACAGCTATCTTCGAGTCGAGTCGAGTCGAGCAATCTCTCTATTAGAAGCTTTTCAACTACATATCTTTTAAGATAAGAACTAATACATCACGGATGAATCCAAAACCGGATGTCCTCGTGATCGAAGGGAGCCGTTTAGTTTATGCATCAACTAAAAATTTACTTGCCTAGAAACCGCAGAGAGTTTGTGAGCTGCTGTTAGAAAAAAAAAAAGCTTACATACGTCGGCTTTTCGTTATAGCCCTGAAATGTAAATGCAGAGGAAAACTTGGAAGAGCTAGTCCGGGAAAATGGACACAGGCCTTCCATGAAAGTCACAGATAAGTGCGAGAGCTGAACGTAAAAACAATTTTTACCTTGATTAGTTAAGAAATTATATCTTTTATCTGCATTAATTTCTGAGCTCTTTACAACAAAAAAGAACCCCTGATATAGAACACAACGGAAGTTCATTGGTCAGTTCGTGTCAAGTTACTTTTTGCATCTCGATTAGTTCTCGTGACAGAGATAGATTAATAAGTCTTTATTCCTCAGGATTAGATACGAAAATTACACTTTAAGAAACTATCATAGTCCTTTTCAGAATTCGTTTAACATAATATACTAGCAGTGCCCCTGATCAAAATTAAACTGACGGGTTCCCCTCCTCCGTTCATCGATTTTTTTTCAAGATCCGAATTAGGAAAGAAATGAAACTTCAATTATATTTTAGAAATTACTTCTCTCAGGATTTGTTCCATCAACATTTTCTTATTGACCAACACAAAGGAAAATTAATAATAGATATCACACTCTTCGTGTCAAATCATATGGTAAACACAGTACGAGGTAACTCTCCTTTGCAGTCATTGATGTGACTACAATGACTTTTTCTTAGAAAAAGCAGGAGGCAAAAATGACTTTGCAATATTTTCACGAAAATTCCAGATTCTTTGCATGCAATATATTCACCTCAGCCTTCAAGCTCCATCAGCCTGAAGAGAGCAGGTACGTGACCAATGATCAAATTGCTTTTCACAATACATAAAAATTATCGTGAATGGCCTAAAGCCAATGGTTTGAATGAAAACTGTGGGTTGGAGCAGCAGGCTCTAGGAAACTTTTATATAAAAACAGATATTAATCCATGAAAATGAATACTCCTGAAAACATCTTCTGGAAAAGAAAAAAAATCGGAGAAATTTACGGTATAGATTCAACAGAAACTTGTAAGGATTTAGCTTTTCGGCTGCCTCCCTAAGTGGAGATCGAATGGTGTTAGTTAGCGATTAAAAAGCAATGGAAAAAGCAATAATTAAAGGATGTGAAATTATTATTATTTGGTAACGTCAAGGAGTTGAAAACTACAGGCGGCTACTATTTGGCTCACTACTGACCGCTTGTTAATTTTATTGTAATATGAAATGTTTGCATTTACCGGTGAAATAAAAGTAGGACTCTTCAATAATTTTGTTTTAAGGAGTAAAACGTATTAGATGACAATTAAAACAGCCCTTCCATTTCTGATTGGTCCATTCCATGCCCAGTAAACAGGTGTCAAACTCTGTGCGTCAAAGCGTCTGACAAAAGCTCCTGAGGGTAATAGTTTCCAGCTTTAATCGTGACTCTGTTAGCCCAAATGGTTTTTCAGTTGCCTGTAGATGGAGCCAAATGGTTTTCATAAAACCTCAATATATACATAATTTTTCCTTCTTAAAAGTTTGAAATATTCTACTTGTTCCAGTGAAGGAGGCAATTAAAAGTCTCATACAGCGACTGAGAAGATTGTTGAATATTTTAATGGCAGACTTCAATAACTCCTTCATTCCACTCTTTGCTGTGTCAAAAATACTTTTTGACACAGCAAAGAGCCAAACCTGCAACAGAATGGATGCGAAAACTGCGACGAATCGCAGTATTGTGGCGAATTTCACCGGGAATTTATCACTTCGTCCAGCTGTCCAGTCTGTACCGTTGGGGCCCGAGGTAAGTCCATTTGACGAGTTTTTCAAGTTTGCCTTCGGATCAGCAATTTACATTATCATCGTTTCCTTCGTAACCGTCTTAGCCAACGGCTTGTTGCTTGTCGTTTTCTTCTTCGATCCATTGAAGACATTTGGCACTGCCACTACCTATTTCCTAATCAGTCTTGCCTTTGTGGATATCTTAACAGCCGCCTCGCAAGAGCCCATGTACGCTACATGCTTCATAATGATGTATCTTAGACATCCTGACACCCTAGCAACGTGCACACCTCTTCTGAATGTGGGCCAAGT